AGTAAAGACACTAACAATTACAGAATGAAAGTGAGGACAAGATACCACTTCACAACATCAAAAAAAAAATGACAAAATTGCTGAGACCAGGAACACCTGCGACTGAGAGAATTAGGAAATACCCTTTTCCGTGTCTCTATGTAGGAAGCTTCACTGGGCACAGCAATCCTGCAGTATCAGTATTGGTTCCTGCAGGAACAAAATCATACACACCCTGACCCTCAACCCAGATGTGGCCCAGGAGAAAGCTTGACTGTAAGCAAGACCATGAACAGGAATCTCGGTGTTTACTGTTGCCATGAAAAAATACCTAAAACTGGGTATTTTATGCAGGAAAATAATTTATTTGCTCAATTTTTTGCAGATCCAAGAGCATGGGTACTAATGTGATATTTTGCTTGTGCTCTACCAAATAAAGCCTGCCTGAAGATCAGAGGGTGGAGCTAGCCATTAGCTAACCATAGAGGTCTGGAGGTCTATATAGACAACAGACAGGAAGTGATATGGCTGGGTGGAAAGAGGAGGTGATAAGGTGGGATAGAGACAGGAGTTCGCCCCCTTTTTGATCTGAGGAGTCATGGAAGAGGTGACTGGCTGGGTCTGTTACTTCTCTGATCTTTCAGCATTTATCCTGATATCTGACTCTGGGTTTTTAATTATTAAGACCAATTAGAATTCGTGCTACAAATGTCACCCACCATTAGGCATGGATCCACATAGATCTGAGAAAGCTTAAAAAAAGATTCTAAATGCACAGAAATGGAGCCACACTGAGCTTCCTAGTCTCACAGTCGCATGCCAGCAGCCCAGCAGAGACCTGTCTTCCGGTGACTGCCCTTGAGATGGAGGGGGCCGCCAGTCACCATGAGCTAAGCAGTGTGGTGGGTTTCTACAGCAGTCTCTCTCACAGACAGTGATACAGAGAGGATTCTCCTGGCCACTGCCTGCATGCTTAAACTATCAGCACAAGCTCTGGTACATGCTACATGGTGGATTTAGCTCAGATGAATAAAAAGGCTAAAAGATACACAGTAAAAAGAGGTCTAAACAACAACAACAAACCTTCTAAACAGGTTCCAAAGTGTTTTAGAGGTTCCACTGCGTTTTACAATGTGCATAGGCTTAAGAAAGAAATAAGAAAGGTATGGACAGTTACAGAAAGAAATAAATAGTTTTAAAATAATATAATAAAGTCTTTAAAGAGAGAAGTAAAGTAATGTAAAAAAAAGAATAAGCCACGTAGAGATGGGAAATACACAGGGAGTCTGGATCCTGCATGTTATTGTGCTGTTTTGAACTTTTTGAATGATAAGGAGCAAAAGGCAGCTGCTAGCAGACATAGGCTTATGAACAAGACTGCAAAATTGAACCAACCTAGATACGTTAGGGCTATCTTACTTTTAAAAAATCAAGCCGGGCAGTGGTGGTGCATGCCTTTAATCCCAGCACTCGGGAGGCAGAGGCAGGAGGATTTCTATGAGTTCAAGGCCAGCCTGGGTTACATTATGAGTTCCAGGAAAGGGCTCTAAAGATACACAGAGAAACCCTGTCTCAAAACAAAACCAAAAAAAGAAATTAAATATATATTTGTCAAATGGAAATCAAAAATGTTTTGGAGTTTTGTTCCTACAGGAGATGAGAAGTTGTGGATTCATTCCAGAATAATATGGATCAGGTATGATCAGGGGAGACCTTCTGAATCTTGACAGGTGATATCTATCAACAAAGTATACTGCTGGTCATCCCAGGGCTTGTTCATTCTCTCAAAATTTTCTTAGGGTCCCCCAAAGATTACCAGTACCCTCAATCAACAAGAAGTAGTCTACAGAACTACACCCACATTCCCAAAAATAAATTATGAATGTTTATTTTCATTTAAGGGGGTTGGTTATAAATTGTTAACGGTTAATCTCTTTCTAAGAAGAAAGGGGGATCTGATGTAAAAATGGTGGGGAAAAAGATAGATAATTATAATAAAAAAGGATTATTGAATCTACTTTAATCCCCAAAACAACTGTTAATCTCAAAATACTTTACATTGCTATGGATTTTAGTTTATTGATACAAATTTAAAGTCAATTTTGTTACACTGTATGTATATTTCTACTCTTGTTTAAGGGATTATGTTTATATAACTCACTTAAAAATATAAGGCAAAGCCAGGCGGTGGTGGTGCACATCTTTAATCCCAGCACTCAGGAGGCAGAGCCAGGTGGATCTCTGTGAGTTCGAGGCCAGCCTGGGCTACCAAATGAGTTCCAGGAAAGGCACAAAGCTACACAGAGAAACCCTGTTTCAATATATATATACATATATATGGCAAAATTCTAGTTTTTGAAAGCTATTTTTATAAACTATTTAGGATAATCAAGAAACAGTAATTAGTCATTTATGATGATCAAATGTGTAGATATGTTAGATGTGCTTTCAAGATCATATAGAGATATATTTTAGATAGATGGTCTTCAAATACTTCAAAGACCTATAAATATGGCATTTAAAATGTTTTATTAACCTAAGGGTTTTTTTATGACAATGAGACATGTCTGCTCCTGGCATGACCAATCTACTTCAGAGAAAATAATGGGCATCAAAGAAACTCCATATGGAATTTACTTTCTTTGTGGCAAAAGTTAGTCACTGGGCAAGAAAGTGCTCCTGCCTTGACTGCTGACAGTATGCTGCCCAAATTGGACAAGCAGGACATAAAAGAAAATGACTGCCAAACTTTGGGAAGACAAGGTAAGACAGCCCTTCAGAAAATCCTGCTTCACAGAAAAGTCTGTCAGATATTCTAGGCCTGTAGACTGCAGATGGATGCCCCAATGTTGCAGAGGAACCTTCGATGACTGTCCAGGCAGCCAGCTGTTTCTGTCATTTTTCAAAATTTTTGGAAGTTACTTACTTGTATTTCTTTCTTACTCAGGTAATATTATTTTCTTCTCGCGTCTCTGATAGAGTTCAAGACTTTATAGTTATAGTTTTCCTTGTTACCAGATTCAGAAAAGAAATTCACTAAAGAGCTGTAAAGTGTTTAGGGTTGGGAGACATTAAAAAATAGTTTTGGTAATGCAAGTTGGAATAGAAAGTGACTTAGGTATAACTTTTTATACTTACCAAAATAGAATAGATAATGGAGCATTTTCTCTGAATTTGTCAAATGTTTATGGACTAGACATTGTTGATGTATTTGTTGCCTGTATATATTGTATATAGTTATTGTACTTATTGTATATAGTTTTTCTTATACTAGCTATAACTTTTCTTTTTTTACTTTAGACAAAAAGGGGGAAATGTGGTGATATTTTGTGCTCTAGTAAATAAAGCCTGCCTGAAGATCAGAGGGTGGAGCTAGCCATTAGCTAACCATAGAGGTCTGTAGGTCTGTATAGATAACAGATGGGAAGTGATATGGCTGGGCTGAGAGAGGAAGTGATAAGGTGGGATGAAGACAGGAGCTCAGTCCCTTTTAGGTCTGAGGAGTCATGGAAGAGGTGACTTCGGCTGGCTACTTTACTTCTCTGATCTTTCTGCATTTATCATGATATCTGACTCTGGGTTTTTAATTATTAAGACTAATTAGGATTTGTGCTACATACTAACATCTTCTAAATTCTGATAAGGACTTCATGACTGCATCATAATGTGGCAGATGGCATCACAGTGAGTGGAAATACATGGAGAAGAGGTTCCATGGTAAAGCAAGAAGCAAGTATTGATAGATCACTATGGTAGACCAGCATAATCCCTTCCAAGGGTAGGAAACCCCTGATGACTATGCACTAGCCTCCCATCTTAAAAGTCACACCACCTCAGCCTCATCACACTAAGGACCAAGGTTCTGACACAGTAAAACTGTGAAAGACACTCTAAACACATCCACACAATAGTGGTTATCTACAGCTTCTCTTATATCTTCTTACTGAGTTCCATAAGATTATTTTCAATGCCTTTTGAAGCAATTTAATAAATTTCTATTTATTTGGGGTTAGTCACCCAAGAATTAATGCATTCCATTCTAATGTCAGCCGGTATTCTGGTAAGAATTTTTGCATTGGGCTAGGAAGATGGCTCAGTGGCAAAAGGTCTTGCCAAAAAAAAAAGGGCAAGAGAACCAGAGTTCAGTTCCCAGAACCCATGTAAATGCCAGGTGGGTCTGGCACTCTGGCATCAATTCCATCCTTGTAAGGAAATGGAATTGCTGAAGCAAACTGTCTAGTAAAACCCTACCTCAAAGAACAGGGTAGAAGAGTGGGTGAAGAAGATTCCCAACACCAACCTTAGGTTTCTGCATGTGTATGCACATACATGTACCCACACATAAAAACATGCATGTATATGCACACATAGGACACACACATACATATGTAAAAAATAAGTTTTGTATTCATGTTTAAGAGTTATACAGGTGTGCAAATTTGCTATCCTGTGATTGCTTTATCATGCTTTGCTATCCTGTGATTACTTTATCATGCTTTGCCATCCAGGCAGTACTATCCTCGAAGAGCATGTTAGGTAGTGTTCCCCAATCTGAGATGCAGAAAATCAAACTTGGATTCTCTCACAATATATAATGCTTTTGTCAACTCTAGATGTATGGAGGATTTTAACCTTTTTTGATTTAAGGCAAAAAAAGGGGGAAATGTGATATTTTGTTTGTGCTTTAACAAATAAAGCTTGCCTGGAGATCAGAGTGCAGAGCTAGCCACTAGAGGCCAGCATGGTGGCACACACCATTAACCCCAGCACTTAGAATCTCATGGCTTTTATTTCAGCACTTGGGAGGAGGAAACAGGAAGTGATATGGCTGGGCAGAGAGAGGAAGTGATAAGGTGGGGTGGAGACAGGCGCTCAGCCCTTTCCCTCTGAGGATTCCTAGAGGTAAGAAGTCTATCTATTAGCTGGCTGCTCTGCTTCTCTGATTTCCAGGCAAGCTTTATTTGTTTTTTTTTGTTTGTTTTTTGTTTTTTTGTTTTTTTTTTTTTTTTTTTTTTTTTTTTTGGTTTTTCAAGACAGGGTTTCTCTGTGTAGCTTTGCTCCTTTCCTGGAACTCACTTGGCAGTCCAGGCTGGCCTCGAACTCACAGAGATCCGCCTGCCTCTGCCTCCCGAGTGCTGGGATTAAAGGCGTGAGCCACCACCGCCCGGCTTTTTGTTAAAGCAAACAAAATATCACCACAAACAACACCCCAGCAAGCAATCACTTCTGCAGCAGACCTCAGCAGAGTGTCCTCTGATTCAGCTCAACTCTGACATTATCTGCTTGGAGACCATCAGATCCCACAGGTTGAGGGCTGAGTCCCAAACATTGTCTCACTTCTGGTACAAATGTCAAGCCCTAGTCTATTTTACCAGGGTTTCCAACAGACCATTGGTAAGGCAACTGTATTAGTCTTTTTTTTTTTTTTTTTTTTTTTTTTGCTGCTATGACAGAATACCAGAGCTCAAGAGATGACTCAGTTGTTAAGGGCACTCATCTCATAGCTCTCGTAAAGAATGTAGGTTCAGTTCTTAACACCCATATTAGTTTGCTCACAATGGCCTAAAACTCAATTCCAGGAAATCTGACACTCTCTTCTGGCTTCCACAGGCACTTGCATGCAAGTGGTTTATGCAGGCACACACATATATACATACTATTAAAACCCAGGCTAGGCACTTTACAAAGAAAAGGGGTTTATTTAGCCTCGTCACGGGAGTTCAAGGGTATGGTGCCAGCTCCTGCTCCTCTCTTGTGAGGTTGTCCTAGCAGATGACCTCACAATGGCAGGAGTGCAAGAATGGCCACATAACGAAACAGGAGGCAGACAGCGGAGAGGAGCCACTTTTCCTCTTTAATGGTAGCTCGCTCTGTGGGAACTAATTCACTCTGTAAGACCAGCATTAACACTTTCAAAGGGCATCATCCCAATGACCTCTTTATTATGCAATAAACCTGCCTCTTAAAAATTTCACCACCGCCGGGCGGTGGTGGCGCACGCCTTTAATCCCAGCACTCGGGAGGCAGAGCCAGGCGGATCTCTGTGAGTTCGAGGCCAGCCTGGTCTCCAAAGCGAGTTCCAGGAAAGGCGCAAAGCTACACAGAGAAACCCTGTCTCGAAAAACCAAAAAAAAAAAAAAAAAAAATTTCACCACCACTTAATGTTGCTATTTTGGGGACAAAGCTTCTAACACAGGAACCTTCAGGGGATGCACTCAAGCTATATCCAAACCACAGCAGCAAGTAAAAGGACTTTGCCTACACCACTGACTATAATAGTGAGAGAGAAATGTGAACCCCTCAGTAGAGGAACAATAAATGGGCTGTAGCTTACCTCTACAATTAAATAAAGTATCAGGAAAAGTGAGCCAGATTTAATGTATTGTCACAAGTGAATCTCAGAAACATGATGCCTACAAAAAGAGACTAAATACAGTATGCTTATGTAAAAATTTTAAATGTATAAAAGAATATTGTGTATGGGGACACGTGCAATGATGTACTACCTAAAAACATGCTTAGGGGTTGTTTTAGTCACTGTTCTATGCTGTGAAGCAACACCATGACCAAGGCAACTCTTATGAAAGGAAGCATTTATTTGGGAGCTTGCTTACAGAATTAGAGGCGTAGTCCAGTATTATCAGCAGGAAGCATAGCAAGCATGGTGCTGAGAGTTATATCCTGATCTGCAAGCAAAGCAAGAACCTGGGCTTAGCAGGGCTTTTGAAACCTCAAAGCCACCCCTAGTGACACACTTCCTCCAACAAGGCCACACCACTTAATCCTATCAAAGTGTTCCACTCCCTGGTAACTAAGAATTCAAACATATGAGCCTATGGGGGCCATTCTTATTTAAGCCACCACAATGGTAGGTTTACATGTTTGAATATTTAGTTACCAGTTGGTGGAACTGTTTGGGAAGGATTAAGAGGTGTGGCCTTGTTGGAGGAGGTGTGTCAATGGGGGTGTGCTTTGAGGTCTCAAAAGCCCTCACCATTCCCTGTTACCCTCTCTGCTTCATGCTTGTCGATGAGATGTGAGCTTTCAGCTGCTGCTCCAGCACCATGCCTGCCTGCCTGCCTATGCCATGATCTCTGCCATGATGGTCATGGACTTACCCCCTGAAACTGTAAGCCCCCAGTAACTTCCTTCTTCAGGTTGCCTTGGTGATGTTGTATCTTCACAGCAACAGAAAGGTTACTAAGACAGGGATGACCCACCAGCCTCGTGTAATTGATATCTCAGAGGGTCAGAGGGAAGAAGTAGGAAAGAGTTCTGGATATTCCTGTATTTTATGTGGAATAAAATAAACAAATAACCAAAGAAAAGTAGATTGAGCTGGGGGAAGAATTTTAAAACCAAATTTAATTTTTCTTCTCCAGTTTTTAGTTTAAAAATTTAATGCCATAATTTTGATGACAATGTAAATAGGTCTCAAACTGTAGATGTATAAGTGGTATAATATGCTCCAATTTGTCCTAATTTTCCATACAAAAAGCATGTAGAAAGATTGTTCTAAGCTCCGAGGCTGACTAGCTGACAGTGCTACCCAGGTCTTGAGAGGTTGAAATGTGGTTTGTCTAGACTGAGGTGTGTTCAAGATGCAAAACACAACCAGATTCTTTGAAATCTCCTACATTTCCCCCAAAGAGCAGAACACAGACTTGGATTAAGGAGTGGCGATTGCAGAGACAGTAGCCAGCAGCATCCAAGGCACCTAGTGGTGATGGAGCTGGCTGACATCTGCTGGCGAAGAGAGAATGGACTCAATCAGAAGGGTGCTGCAGGGGTGGCAGGCTCCCTGGAGGGAGTTCCGGGGCTCAGTGAGCCCCTCATTGGAAGAGAGTAGGGATATAATTGGAGAAAAGGGCACATTTAGAACCTTGAGGGATCTTGAACAAGTGATGAACAGACATCTGAACATCTGTCTTCAAGAATAGTCAAGGCTATCCCACTGTCTACCTGCAATCTGGTCTGTAAAACTCTCACAAATGCCATACAAAGACAAGCTTGAGTTCTACCTTGTTCCAAGCCCCAGGAAGACCACTGACTCTCCAACTCTTTCTGGAGGGAGCAGACAGCTCTGATCTGAATACAGAAGTCTTTTAAGGTTCATCTTCCCACCTGAAAGTGACTGTTTTCATTTTTAAGACCTACACACACACACACACACACACACACACACACACACACACACACACACACACACTCAAGACCAATTAGCTTTGATGGCCTGACTCGAGGACCATAGTTAGATCCACACCTTGATCAAATGATAAGTAACAAAGGACATGACCATTTGTGCCTAGACATGCTTTTGTCTCCAGAGAACCTTGAGATGGTTCCTGGTGGGAACACCAGAGCTCTGAGCTTGGTGACATCCTGCAGCAGTGTGAGTAGGTGGCTGCACAGTGGCAGCTGAGCTTCAGTGTGGGAGAGGCAAAGTCACGCATTTAAGGAAAAAATAACCTGAATTACACTTTAAAAAGCAGGAGGGGCTGTCATGGGCAGGCCCCCGCAGACCCTCCTCCAGGGCAGTTCCTGTTCCTATGGAGGGATGGGGTGGGGTGCAGTTGGGAAGTGCTGCAGCAAAGGGAAATTGAGGATCTGGGAATTCAAAGACCTCTGCTGGGAAGGGACTCGGGGTAAGCAGGAGAGATAACCTCCCAAGGACCTAAGGAGAACAGTTTGGGAGATGAGATTCTTACAGAGCTAGTGGGGAGACAAGGAATTTATGTATTACCTCTTCCATAGATTCTCTAGGGCCCCAGACCTGTGGCCACTGAAAACAAGTCTCTCATTCAGACCAGGAGCCCTTTGAAGGCCATATAGGACAGTCCCTCTAGAAAGAGGAGTGATAAACACCAGCCTGAGCTGTAAAAGTACTCAGTTATTTGTGGCTGTCTTTAAAAAAAAACTTGCAAATAAGACAAATGTAAGAGGTTTTCAGAAAGCTTTTCCCCGTCCACAATTACTTTTACTGTTTTGTATTTTCCTTCATTTGCCATGTCTTTTCAGATGTATGAGCACACATGGCCTACTGTGTGCTTGGCCTTATTGCCCAAGGCTGGGACAATTTCCCTCTTCTCTGTACCTGACTGAGATCTCAGAAGCTGGCTGGTTCTACTCCTGGAGGGAAAGAATGTTTTCCACGGAGGCACTTGGCCCAGAGCCACAGAGAAGAAAGCAGACATCTGTTTCCTCTGCTGACTTTGGTCATCTTTACACTTCCATGCCAACACTGAATCTGCACACAGTAAGTACCCCTACAAGTGCCCTCCGTGAATGAATACAAGTGGATGCTGCCAACAACAAAAGTCCCCAAGTCCATTAAACACTTGAGAGCATCACAAAGTCCATTCCTTGTCAGTGTTTGTCCATTAGCCCACCCATTCCTCCAACCAACACCTACATCCTACTGTGCATCCTACTGCTGAGGAATATTTAACTATGTAAAGATGTGTTGCATTTGTTTTACTATGTAAAGATGTGTTGCATTTGTTTAATCATATAAAGATGTGTTGCTGTTTTACCTTGCCTGCTTAAGGCACCTGATTGGTCTAATAAAAAGCTGAATGGCCAATAGCAAGGGAAAAGGTATAGGCTGGACTTCTGGGAAGGGAGAGTAAGTAGGAGGAGCAATTAAGGCTTGGAGGAGAAAGAAAAGAGACACAATGGAGATGCCAGGGGCCAGACAGACAGACAGACACAGAGGAAGCAGGAAAGTAGGACATACAGAATGAAAGAAAGATTAAAAAAAAAAGCCCTGAGGCAAAACGTAGATGAATAGAAACAGGTTAAATTAAGTTAAAAGAGCTAGTAGGACAAGTCCAAGCTAAGGCCAAACATTCAAAATTAATAATAAGTCTCCGTGTCTTTATTTGGGAGCTGGTTGGTGGCCCAAAGAAAATGCCAACTACACCCTACCACCTGTATGTTATTGTAGGCATGCTATTGTGTGGATCCCACCATGTTGATCCCACCATCTGCCAGTTATTGAGAATATTCTAGATATGTGGCCAGTTCTGCCCATACAAAACAGAGGAGGCCAGGCCTACCCCACAGGTTCAGGGCTGTTCAAATAGCTGGCTTGGGGTTCAGCCATTTCTACCTATAAGGGAGTAATTACTGTGATGGTTATAGGCTGGGGTCCAAGTGAACATGAGAACATAGCCTTTTATTTGCCTGGAACATCACTGTAGGTCCTCACATGTATTAAGTCACTGGATTGCCCATTGGAAACCCTCATCTGTTCTTCCTCATTTCTGGGCAAACCATAGTAAAGGTGTTCCTTTTTCTGGACTTTTTTGTAGGTAAAGCAACACAACATGGCCAAATTTCAGGAAAATGTTGCATCAATAGTAGAGATGAACCCCAAGCAGTTGTGGCATACACCTTTAATCCCAGCACTTGGGAGGTGGAGGCAGGTGGATCTCCATGAGTGTGAGGCCAGTGTGGTCTACAGAGAGAGTTCCAGGACAGCCAGGCCTACACAGAAAAACCATGTCTTGCGGGGAGGGGAAGAGTAGAGATGAAGCTGGGCATGGCGTAATCCCACCACTCGGGAGGCAGAGGCAGGCAGATTTCTTGTGAGCTTAAGAACAGCCTGGTTTACATATTGAGTTCTAGGCCAACCAGAGCTAAAAAATGAGATCCTGTATCAAAAAAGAGAAAAGAAAAGAAAGGAGATGAAGAAAGAGGTCAGTGGGCGACTCAGGAACCATTTCAAAGGAAAAATTCTGGGTGGGGCCCCAGCAGGGACAATAGGGTTCTCGCAGAGGTTGCATGGAACCCAGAGGACAAGAGGAGAATAAAAAAGCCTGAAAAGCAGGAGCCCTGCCTGCCGTGCTCATTGCTGTAAGAAGGACCAGTGAAGGGCCAGAAGAGCCTGCCTCCTTGTCTGACTCCTTCCTTCACCATAGTTGGTCATGAATGGAAAGTGGCCAAAAAAGCATGAATTTTGTGGAGTATCCTGTGATTTAATTGAGATTTTATTGATCTGACAGTGACAGTCCACTGAGGATCAATGGCTGATAAAGTGAAATATCACAAGACCAGGGACTCTCTGAGAGAAGCCCACAAGTATAAAATATAGAACACAGAGACTAAGAATACTGGGTGGAACATACCTGCCGCAGGGCTGCTGTCCATGGCTATCCTCCTGGCCAAACAACTTCCATCTCTGTAAGTTTGGCTATTCCTGCGTGTAAAAGATCATCCCAGCTGGGTTTGTTGACTCTCTCTAGTCACTCCGTACTACCAAGCATATGTGATTCTGCCTTAATTGCACAGGGCCTCATCTAGAGCATATAGGTCAGGGAAGATTGGCAGGGTGGGGTTCCATCTATTTAACTATGGGAAAGCCATCATTCCTGCTGAGTAAAGACGTTCCAATGGTGCCTTTTGGTAGGGAGCACCATACCCCTCACCTATGCTTTATAAGTAAACTCAATAAACTCACTGGTTCTCCAGAGTGAACTCTAGTGGAATCATACCTCAGTTTGTTGTTGGAACCTTAGGAGGAGGAGACATTAGTTTACATCTCCCCCTGCGAAGGAAATTTAGCAAGAGAACAACCAAGCTTCTCCTCTTATCCCAGGAACTGCTCAGATTTCAATTTTGAGAATATAAGGATAGTTGCTTGCTACTGTCCTAAATTAATTTCTTTCTCCCTTTTGGGATCTTTTTCCTGTTGATGAAGCAGTAAACTAAGCTGGGATATTGGGCCCTTGGAATCATGCCTGTTGACATGAGGCCACAGCAGTGCTCTCAGATGAGGTTTATAACCTACTAGTGTTTATTCTGTGCCAGCTCAGTTTTCTTAAGGTCTCTGTCATTTATTACTTTCCTCTGAGATCTTAGTGAGAAGAAATATTTTGGGGGTGATGATGACTTTGGGGGATACTGTAGGACAAGCACATTCACAAGGATGTGCCAAGTGATCAACACTAGAATTGTATGTAGCAGGCTCCGAGTAACGTGCGTGGAGGCTAGGGATTAAGCCTGACAGCTGACCCCTTGCCCAGAACATCTCACCATGAACCCACTGAAATGCTTTGACACTGGTAATGGTCTTCTCTGTCTACCTGTTTGTACTTAGATGTGGCCTCAGGGGGCTCTTGTATGTTCATCCTATGATATAAACTTCAACAGGAAAATATCAATGTAAGACAGGGGCCCACAGCTAGGCTACAAAGCTAAGAATGGATTCTACTTGTGTCTCAGATGCCCAGACTTCACTTATCTGACCTGGTCTCAAACACCACAAGAGACCATGTGTAGTGTTACTTCATGTCATCCTTATAAGGCAATGCATTAAGATGCAGGTATTAGTGTCCACTGATTCTGTAATAAAACATGGTCTGCTTGGCAGTTTCTTTGCTGAAGTTCATGCCATGTCCTAGCCCCTTAAAATTAAGTTCCTACCCCTAAGGACAGTGGGCTTCTGCTGAACAAATAATGCCTTACAAATAGTATTTAGCATGTAAAAATACTAAGATGTATTTGTGTCTAATTTTGGAAGAAAGGCCAAAAAGTGACTTATTTACTAAGTAATGTAAAGAATCAGCTTGAACAACTATTTAAAGCTTCAGGACAGAAGAGTGGACATGAACGAAAGCTGCTGTGAGTTGGAGTGTGGAGTGGGGTGGCAGCAGCCTCATGATCCTCACTCTATGCCAAGTTCCCTGAGAACTGATCTTTATAGGAAACTGACTTCAACAACAGTGGGATTCCTTTTCTCCAGTAAGCTTTAAAAGTGAAACTTTGCTACCCCACATCTCATACTCACCTCTGTAAAAGTGGAGCTAACAACATTTATGGACTTGGGAGTTAGGAACACCAAATCTTGAAGCATTCATCTAATTCATTGGTCTTGTGGAAGAGGCTACTTTGCCCAGGTCTGGGGGAAGCCCCCCTCTTCCTCATCCCAGGTTCCCCTGCTTCCCTGGTCAGACAATATGCACAAATGTCATAATGCTCTGCCTTCCCTGACCTCTGGTCTTGCCCACCTCAGTCTTCATGCAAAACTTCCATTCCAAGAAAAATCTGAAATGAAAAGAGGCCACTGACCTTGATAGACTATTTGAAAGACTCATGAGGCATCTAACATTTTGAGCTATGCAAAATGCGAGGCTAAATCACCTTAGGAAAAAAACAAAAGTCCAATGAGGACTAACTTGGTGCATCTATGCAGCCTATAGATTCACTCTACTCAGGCTGCTTGTGCTCATCCACAAGGCTCCTGAGTGGACCCAGGAGAGTGGCCTATACCCACCTGTGAGGTCTCTGCTCTCAGCTGGAAACACCTGGCAATATCACGTGCTTGGATTTGAGTAGATAGGAGAAAGCATCTTAAGTCAGTTTATGCTGCCATTTGTAACATTTCTGCTTAGGCTGATGGCCAGTTGGCTACTAACGTAGCACAGGAGGGCTGGACTGAATAGACCAACAGCAGGACCAGCAAATCAGGCCTAGCTTTTTTTTTTTCACCTTGCCCCAAGATATCAAAGGTCTGATAAAAGTGAAAACCAAGAAAGCTAGCCATGAGTGATGGCTTTTCCTTGGGTGGCTTCAATATAGTTGTGAGGACTGATTCTTTGATCAGATCCTCAAGCTTCAAAGGAAATGTCCAAGCATAGGTAAGGCCAGTTCTCACCACCATAGATTGGCTCATGGCTGGTGATGGACCTCGCTGCTCTTCATGGAAATGAGATTGGGGTACCCTCCTCCTCTAGTGCCCTTGCTGTAGAGGGCAGCTTGCTAGGTCCCACCTGGGGTAAGATGCCTACAGTCACCAAAGATACAGGGGAGCTCTGGGCAGGGCATTTGGGAGTTGAGGAAAGGTGCCATCACACAGCCTGCAACTGGGAACTGTGCCCCCTCCTTAAACAGGGGGCTTCTTCACAGAAGTAGCCTTTTGCACATCAAAGACACTACCCAGGATTCCATGACTCTTCTGGCCTCTGATGATTGGTATGGGTATTTGCACACGCAGAGGAGATGCTCCCCTCCTCCACATGAAGGAGGCACACCTTTTGGGCCAGGGCTTTGCTCCCAGCTGGCCTGTGAGTCACTACCTGCCTGGTCTCACTAGTCCAGGCACATGAAAGTCGGATCACCTTTTTCCAAGACTTAGAACCTGCTTGACTTCCAGCCAGCCCACCAGAAGGATGGAGACACTCTGGTCATAGAGAACTCATTTCATTTGTGTGTAAATGGTTACACGCATATTAAACTCACTTAAAGTTATGTCCTTCACATTCATTAAGGCTATTAAAGTGGTGTACTTTAAATTAAATGCTATATAATCAAAATTACCAGATTATTGAGTTAACAGGAAATTTATCTTTGCAGAAAAACTAGGACTTTGATTTTTCAAAATAGGATTAAACTGTTCATATGTATTAACCAAAAATAAAACCTACTGCTTTGCAGTAGAAACCACACAGCCAGTTTCCAAAAACAGAAATGCAGGGGTCTGGCATCAGTGTCTCTACGCACAGCAGTTAGCTCAGAGACAGGTTGGACCTAGTCAACCAGCTAGCAGAACACAGCTGTTCTAACTCAGCATTTGTCTTTCCCAATTCAGCCACTCTCCCCCATGCTGATTTGAGTGTAGACATCCTCTAATTCCAAGCTGATGAACATTCTCCAATAACATAGCAACCAATTTAATAAAGGAACTCACCAATGTCAAATTGCAATAAATTTACCAAACATTTTCACTGTTTATGGAGAGCTTTACAGTAAGAAAGTGTCGACAGAAGCAGGCACATCCGGGTACAAAGTGTTGCTGTTGGCTGTTCTTCACTTCTGTTCCTACAGTTCCAACCGCTTTGTACTCTCAGCCGAGGTCCTCCACACGAAATTCACCTTCAATGAGCGTTCTGTTCTTGCCCATTCGACCCAGGACCTCCTAGCGCAGTCCTGGAGAACGGACTTGTCTAACAGAAGTGTGATCTGCAAGCCCACCCCAAACATTTATTGTAAACTTTAAATGGAGTCCAGATACGAATGATATAGAGGGAGACACCTCCTCACACAGAAAGGAGAATATCGGAGTGTCCTAGAGTCTCGCAGATCTCACAGGGCCGGGCCAGAAAAGTGCCAAGCCACGCGCAGGCACAACGCCAAGCAAAGCCTGACTGCTGCCCTTTCGGATGTCCCAGGCCGATAGGGCCTGGACTCAGCAGGCCCGGCTAGACTCCCAAGGGCGCGCCATCTCACCGGGCGGCCGACAGCAATAGGGGTAGGAGGCGTTGAGGTCGGGGTCCGAGGGCGCGTACCCTGGCAGCTCTACCGACGGATGCCCGCCACAGCACACCTCCACGCCCGCCTCATCAAACGCATGGAAGACGCCCACGTTGATGTAGGACACAGCGTGGTGCGCCGCGAAGCTCGCGCAGTCTCCTGGGGTGGCGAAGTCGGACTCCTCCGGGGATAGGATGGAGGCCTCGCTGGGCCGTGGCTGCAGCCGCCGCCCCCTTTTGCCCCGGCGGCCACGCCGGGTCCGGGAGGCTAGAGGCTGAGCGCGGAGCCCGGGTCCGCCCCGCGGCCGCGCCAAAGACCGGCTTGCCCTCCGTCGGCCGCGCCGGCCGCGCCTGGCCTGCGACGACTTGTAGTTCTTGACCAGCAGAAGGCTGAGCAGGCCCAGCAGGCACTCGAGCGAGTTGAATACAGTGGAGAGCACCAGGCCGCGCTGGTAGTCCTTCAGCTGGCGGCATTTGGCGGACGTGGCGCTGTCCAGGGTGCTGCGGGCGCGCGGCGTGCTGGAGCCCGGGGCTACAGGGCCGGGAGCCGGGCCAGGGACAGCGGCCGGCGTGCGCGGGGGCAGGCAATAGTGGGAGTACTTGCGTTCCACCAGGGACACTGTGTCGCCGTCGATCACTGCTCCTGCAAAGGCGCTGAGGACCCCGAGCATGAAGACCAGGACGCCTAGGAGCAGCAGGTTCTGGCTATTCACCCGCCCCAAGGGCCCGGCAGCCGCCCGCGTCTCTCCAGGAGAGGGCTCTGGAGCGCCCGTTGGAGATGCGGGGACCCCAAGTCCCGAGCCCGGCCCGGCCCCTGACCCGGTGAGGGGCGCCTCCCGGGGCCCGCAGCACAGCAGGGCGGCGCCGAGCAGTGAGAGGCCGGCGGCCAACAGCAACCCGGAGTAAAAGGCGCCGGCGGCCGCCCCTAGCCGGAACGGCTCCCCGCGCAGCTCAGAGCCCAGCGAGAAGCACTTGAGGCCGACGGCGGCGGCGCTGAGCGCGCAGGCGAGCAGCAGGCTGGAGGAAAGCGCGGCGCAGGCCCCGCGGACGCTCCACTTCATCCTCCGCGCCGGAGCCGGCCCGCACCCGGCGCGCCCGCCGCCGCCCGCCGCCGCCCCCGCCGCCTGCGCCTCCTCCCGGCGCCGCGCGGCCGGACCGCCGGCCTCCTCTTCATCCTCCCGCGTCCTCCCGAGCTCGCGACGCCGCCGCTGGAGCCCGCATCCTCCGCCTCCCGCCGCCGCCGCGACCCTGCACCGGGAACCGAGCCGGCGCGGAAAACCGCAAGGCGCGCGCGCCCCCTCCCCAGACCGCGGCGCCGATCTCCGGACGCGCGGCACCCCCTCCCGCGGCTCCGCGCGCCTCGCCCTGACACCACCCTCCGCGGCCCCCTCCCGACCCTCGGGCCCCCAGGACTCCCCTCTGGTCCTCCCCTAGGAAAGGGGCCCCTCGCCAAGTCTCCGCCTTCTCGTCCTCCCCCTGTCAATGTCGCTGTCCAGCGTCCGCAGCCTTAGGAACGCCACCCCACCTGGGCCTCCTTCTCCAGGGACCCCCTGGGCCCCACCCCCAGGACCTCCCACCTCTGGAAGCCCAGCATTTGCTTTTCCCAATCCACTCGGCGGCTCGTCTCCACGCCCACCTGACTGGACCCGGAAGCCTGAAGAAGTTAGCTGGGGATTTCAGCGATAGGGGTGGGTATAAGGGAGAGAGCCTGGGCGAGGAAAAGGGGAAGGGGACAATGTCCAAAAAGAATAGAGGAGGGTGAGCAGGGTATTCGGGGATGGAGGACGAAGTGTGTTTATTTGGGAAGTGCTGGCATGTAGAGGCGTGTGTTGTGTGCATGTCTGAGGGGTATGCATAGGCCTTATAGTATGGGGTGTGGAAGAGTGGTGTGTGCGTATATATTGTGTGGTAGTGGGGAGTGGTGTGTATTCTGAGATGTGAGTAGGGTGAATACAAGGTTCAGTGTAGTGTGTGCGGTGTCCAGGCGTTCGGTGCGGGGAAGCGTGGTGTGTGTGTTATGTGGTGTATGTGCAGGAGAAGGTGTGTTACCTTGAGGTGTGTGAAGAGTATGGTAGGTGCTTGGGGGTTGTGAATAAGGTGTGCAGGAGAACTGGCTGGAGATTTCTCTCCGAGGACCAGCCACGGAGCAAGGCCGGGATGAAGTCTTGGGGAGAACCTCAGGTGAGTTCAGCTTTAGGTCCAGTCCCGTCTCCAGATCTGGCAGAAAATTTCCTCACACACAGGTGAATGAATTTGTCCTGCACTCAAGTGCGCAAGAGAGAGTGCTGTGATAGCTCAAATCCGGACTTGGACCTTTCGAGGCCTCCCTCTGGCAGCCCCGCCCTGGCCCGCAGTCCCGGGTGTGGATGATTCAGGCCGCCTGCGCAGCTTCTGAACCGCGGGTGGCTATGCCTGGGCCTGGGGTGGGGAGAAGCAGGGTCCGGGCGCCGGGATGGGAGAGCGGTGGAGAGAACGCGCCTGCGCGCCGGCCTTTGGTACATCAGGTTCCGGTCCGTCAAAGGCCCAGGGACTTTCCTATTTATTGCTAAAGGACCCTCCCAAAACCAAGAGCTGTATTGCCTGGGGAAGCCGCGCCCATGTGTCCGAGGCAGCGCAGGGGCCCTCGCCCACCCCTCCTAGAAGGCACTTGCAGGTGGGTGTGTGGAAGCCTTCCAAAGACTCCCGGACGTATGCGTGGGTTTCACTTCGTCCCATAGCTTCGGAAAGAGCGAACCAGCCTCTCTGTATTTTTAGCAGGCGGAGCAGAATTTGAAACAGCATCCTACCGGTCCTGCGCCTGGTGAATGATGACTCGCCAGAAAGCAGAGACGCAACCCTGCCTCCCTGAGCTTGGCGTGTGGCCCAGGAGGCTCCGTGAGCCTGCGTGCGTAAGGATCGTGGCGCCCACGCTTGAGAGCAGAGCTCAGTGCAAACTTCCAATGGTTCTTCCAGTTTCCAGGGAAACGAGATTTGGATCTGCTGCGTGTTGCAGAGCTACCCCTCTCCTCCCCAGAGGGAGCCCCGCGAATGGCTCGGTTTGGGGAGGAAGGGATTGAGGACACCTACTCCATGAAGGGTGAGCTCTGATCTTAAGGTGGAAGAATTGAGCAGGGCTATGGGGATTTCTTCTACCATCAGAGGATTCAGGAAGCAGCTCTGTTCTGGGTTGCTTCTCCTCTAGATGGGCACTGCCACTCCTCTAACATTTCTTTAACTCACAACAAGGCCCTTGTACATGATGTTCCCACTCCTAGGGTATATTCATACTCCATGATAATCCTCACCTGACATTGCTTCCTCATTTCTCAGAATTTATTGTAATGTTTCTTAATTGTCTCAGTTTTGTCTGAAGCCTATCTGATCCAGTGCTATACTGAAAGCTTTCAAGAACTTTCTTTTATTCACTTCTCACAACAAGCGGTGAGGTAAGTCCCCTGTGATCCCCAGACAGGCTTTCCATGAGTAAATCAGTGACTGCTGGAATTGGGACCCAAACCCGGCTCTGTGCACAGGCTGTGCTCCTCCAGCTGCCTTCCGAACTCCAGCCCCTGCAGAGGATTCCCCATAGTACAGGATTTCCCTGTAGTACAACTATGTGTTCCCTACCAGGTGGGGCTAGAAATGGCAGGGTAAGGGCAGTTCCACCTGCTTCTTGGGATGGCTGTTTGTGCATGTGTCTGTGATGCAGTAAATGTTGATCTGGTTTTCCTGAAGCATAGGGCCAGGAGCCTGCATACAGGTGTCTCTTCAGTGTTGGGAATAAGGGAAGTTGCTCAGAGAGACTAACGAGGCAGAAGTAGGGGAGAGGGGAACTCCACTGAGAAGAATCTTTAAACTCAACCAATTCAACTTTATTCTGAGGGCAGGGGGACCACAAGATTGCAGGGGAGCATCCTGGTGTGTATTGAGAAGGAGCTCTACTGGAATTTGGGAGAGCTAAAGGAACTCCCTCCCTCCTTACCTGGACCACTTACAATCTTTCTGCCCAACTTGAGTCAGCAGAGAGTGGGAGGGGCAATCTGTGGTCCCAGGACAGCTAAACCAAGAGTGACATTGAAACTAACCCATGTAGGATTTTGGAGCACATTGAATTGCTTTATGTCAGAATTCTTTCACCAAGGAAGAGCTCACCATGCTCTACTATGAGCCCTCTTCAACCTCCACTTCCAGAGTCTGCTTAACTTCCCATACATGCCAAGGAGGGGACCCAGGGTAGCTGTAGTCTAGTCAAGTGACCTGGTGGACTCAGAGGCAAGAAGGAGAGCAACTCCTGAAAAAACGAAACAAAACAACAAAACAAAGCACCAGAGAGGAATCACAACATCATCAGCTACTGAGCAAGTTCCCACAGAGCCTGGGCAGGTCTGGCAGCCCCCTCCTGGGGCATTATCACTGTCCTACACTGAAAACAAGGAAGAAGCGCTAATCCCAGAAACGACACAGCAGAAATACAACAGCAATTATGTATTAAGGAATATTTTACTATCACCTTTGAGTCTTATTTTAATATTTACATAATTACTAACATTTAAAACTGCACCTACTAAAATATTGATTCAATTAATTGAGCTCATTTTTTTTCTACTCCACCACTTGTGTTGTTCAAATTTCTAAAGGCCTTTTAATAAAAAAAAAAAAAAAAACTTGGACCCAGATATTGGGGTAAATGCTGAAAGATCAGAGAGACAAAGGAGCAAGCCACTGATGTGTCTTACCTGTAGAACTTCTCAGCCTGAAAAGCCTTTAGTTCCTGTCTCCTCACACCTTGTATACCTTTCTCCTCCTAGCCATTAAAGGCATGTGTGCTTCCCAAGCACTGGGATTAAAGGTGTGTGCCACCAGTGCCTGGCTCTTTTTCTCTCCTAGACTGAGTCAATCTCATGTAGTCCAGGGTGGCTTTGAACTCACAGAGATCCAGATGGATCTCTGCCTCCTGAGTGCTAGGATTAAAGGTGTGTGTGACCACTGCCTGGCATCTATGTTTAATTTAGTGGCTTGTTCTGTCCTCTGTTCTTCAGGCAAATTTTATTAGGGTACAACAAAATATCACCATTTTTGTTCTTTATTTTATAACCTATGTCTTAGTCCACCTTCTTTTATCATAATGGAATAACATAACATTTACAAAGAACAAAGGTTTAATTAGTACACAGTTCCAGAGGAACTTGCAACTGTGAAGTCCTTGTGCTGTACTGGTGTGTGGTATCCCATGGCAAGACAGAGCAACCAAAGAATTCCTTCCATGACAAAGCTACTCAACTAATTACATCCCAAAGGTCCCACCAAACCTCATGAATATATAACTTTGTATTTTTAGCTCATAAATTCTGAGGACAAAAAGCACACATCATACTGGCCAAGTAGCTGTCATTTTCATTGTTAATCTTACCCCCATTTTTCCAGGAATAGCCACGATTAACCTGTTACTTCAGATGAGCAGTACAGGCATCTCTGTGCAAAATACCCAGTGAGTCTTCTAAAGAACTCATGAAACCATGGCCATGAGTTCTCAGAGATGGACGTAACCGTGTTTATTATATTAAAAGCTTGTGTTTTATAGAATATAATCACAGAAAATACTAAATATACATGTGACATCTTCATGACATTTAAGTAAGCATTTATCTAGCTTCATCCAGGATACAAGACTGAAGTACTGAAATACAAGACTGAGGATGCAGCTCAGAGCCTGACAGCCCACCAGACCCTTTATCCTGTGTTTGCTTAGATATCTGTTAGGAGGAATACACTCCTAACCACTGTAGTTGACTTGGCCTGGTTTTGTTTTCGCTTTATCATTTGTTTTACTTTGTACAGTGAACCACAGGGCATGATTCTCCATGTCTGACTTCTTTGTTCCATATATATTTGTGAAGTGTGTCCATAATGCATCACAGCTATAACTAACTCATTGATGGTTATGAAGCCCTATAGCTTACCCAGTTCACTGTGGTAAACATCATATTATTGCTAGTTTGGGATATTGTGTCCTGAATCATTGAGACATACAGTTGAGTAGCCTGAGAATGGAATTGCTGGGTTGTGAGTAATACCATCTTTACTTTTTTGTCCTTTTGGCACTCAGGTGTAATTTATGTACAAATTAGAACCACTGGTTTTAACTGTACAATTCCATGAGTTTGGACAATTTATACAAGTGACCAAATAATGACTCAGTACTGTTCCAGCTTCTGCAAAAGTTAGCCTTCTCAACTTTTCTCCCACTCTAGGTCCATGCACTATAGTTTGTTGGGGTTTTTTGTTTGTTTGTTTGATTGTGGGGGTTTTTTTTGTATTTTTTTTTGAGACAAGGTTTCTCTGTGTAGCCTTGGCTTCCTGGAACTCACTCTGTAGACCAGGCTGGCCTCAAACTCACCAAGATCTGCCTGCTTCTGCCTCCTAAGTGCTGGGATTAAAGGTGTGCACTAGCAATGCACTATAGTTTTTATTACAGCATTTTGTATACATGGACTCATGCAGTGGGCAATCTTTTCTGGTTTCAGTGCCTTTCAGATTTGTCCATACTCTTGCATGAATCGATGGATTGTTTGCTCTTATCTTTAAATAGAATTCTACTAAAAAAGTGTTTATCTATTCACAACATGATGGGGTGAATTTATTCACAACCCTGAAGGGGTGACTGAGATACTCTTCAAAAGTGGTATTATGCAGGTTGAAGTCATTGTGGGTGCAATTCCACCTCCTTAGGTGTGTAATAGGCATGGTATTGTTGGGCTCCATCACACATTTATTTTTATCTTTAAAGAAACCCAAAGATTATTTACCAGAATAACTTTACGTTCCCCCATGCCATGTGTGTACATTCCAAGAATCTGCATTCCTAGCAACCCAAGATAATGTTAGCTTCCCTAGTATATTGTACAGTCTGGCATCCATGGATGGCGTCTCACTGTGACTTTAGTTTGTATTTAGTTTGTATGAATGCGATCGACCCTTTCACTTATCTTCCTCAGTAAAGCATTTTTTGAAAAATCTTTTGTTAGCTTTTTAAAATTAGGTTGTCTCTCTATATTATTATTATCATAAGTGAACAGAAATCATGACTGGAAACATGGCATGCTTTGGCCCTTTGGCTTCTCCTGTAATAACCTAAGTATATATTATACTTCATTCAGTCTGATCCCCTGAGAACCCCATCAGCTACTCAATCTGTGAGTCCAGCAAAACAACCATAATTTTTCCCAGTGTAGGTCTAGACTTGTGCCACAGAAGGGCCTTGTAGTCTCATATTCATGGCTCCAGAAAAGCAACTCACCTAAAACCTCCTTCCTTCCTTCCTTCCTTCCTTCCTTCCTTCCTTCCTTCCTTCCTTCCTTTTTTTTATAGAAAAAAAATCATGTTTGAAGTGTATACTAGGCAGCATGCCTCTAACAAAGACCTGCATTGTAGTGGTTCTGGACATACTATTGTGGGATTTGGGACTCAGCTTCTTGCTTGCCTGAAACAGGTAGGGAGTCTGAATCAGAAGAGTCAAGCCAAGAAACATCAATCATCCTGAAGGAGTCTTCAGAGTTGAAGTCTCGGTGAAGCTGGCCATGCCCAGGTAAAAATAAATTATATAAAACCAGAGTTAAATAAATTATATTAAAATATGGGTAACAAATACTTAAAGCAACCACTTTGTATTTTACCACGCTTTTCTGTTCAGTTTTTTAATTATTTATTTATGTATTTTATGTATGAGTGCTCTATCTGCATGTATGCTTATATGCCAGAAATGGGCATCGGGTCCCATTATAGATGGTTGTGAGCTGTCCTGTGGTTGCTGGAAATTGAACTCAGGACCTCTGGAGGAGCAGCCAGTGTTCTTAACTGTGGAGCCATCTCTCCAGCCCTTTACCACACTTTTCTATTACCTGTTTTCAGAAATTGTGTCAAGCTAAGCAAAAATGTATATTCTGCTCTGTGTTTCCCAACCCCTTGCTCAGTAACTCCAGGTGATAGCTTATGGTTTACCGTAGCAGGAGAATTTATACCACAGAAATTAGCAAATGATGCAAATCTGACTGGGGCTGCTTATTTTACTTACTTATAAAGTGAAGGGAAATATGAATGATGCAGACTGGACTTAAAATGGATTGTGGCAATAGCCGTCATTTTAAGTCCAGAACGTGTTTCTTCTAGTGCTTGGGAGCCGCCACCTTGCAGTTATAGCATGCACATTGTATATCTCTAATGAAAGGCATTCCAGCATGATTCCCTCTTGTCCTCCATGGAACTCATCCACGTATGTGAAAACAGCACCCAGCATTCAGATCAGAGCAGCACCCTCTTGCCAGCGATAGGAGCAAGCGTTCTGCTGAGTCAGACGTAATCAGGGTTTATTCATGTCCTAATTTTGCGATGCTGTTGTCAGTGATACAGTTACAAAAACAGTGGATTTTGCAAGAAATAGCAAGTCACATTGAAGTCATAAAATAAAAAGCAGATAAGTACTATAATTTAAAATATTATTTCCAAACTTATATAAGAAAATGCTTTTTTCCTAGCTTTTCCATTTTTAAAATCGCATTTATTTGTTCACTGTGTGTGTGCGTTTGCATGTGGGAATGTGACTGTAGTGGAAAACATGTGGCGGTCAGAGGACAACTTGCAACATCTGATTTTCTTCTTCTACCTTGTGAGTTCAGCAGATCAAACTCAGGTCATCAGGGTGGTAGCAAGTGCCTTTGCCTTATGAGCCATTTCACTGGCCCATTAAATTACTAATAGAATTTTTATGTTAGCTCAAGTAATGGCATAAATTTTAGTAAGATTATAAAACTGTTTCTCGTATTTTGATCCACCAAATGCTAATAAAACAGTAATTTCTCAATTCTTTTCTATATGAAACAAGTGAAAACAGATACAGGAAAGAATCTTGTGATCTTCAGTCCTGCAGTGCTCATTTTCTAAAGATTTAGCAGACCACCAAGATGCTCTGAGTATCCAGGAGTAGTTACCAGGAAAGGTATGGCTCCTGCTTCTTGAGACAGCTTTGTAGGAGGGAAAAAACACCATCAGATAGCTAAAGAAATGCCTTACTATAGGCTGAGGTCCGACACATCAAACATGGGGTGCGTGGGAAGGGATGCTGTGTTAAATGGGGTTGAGGAGATGCCTAGAAGGCTCAACCCTTGACACTGCCCTCTCTGTCATATTCGCTCCTCTGGGGTTTACCACCCAGCCTCATAGTTGTAGGAGACCTATAGACTGATAACTCCCAAACTCAGGGTTCAGTTCAAATTTTCTCCTGAAACCCCAGGCTAGTTTCCAGCCTCCTGCCTTCATCTGCTCTATCAAGACCTTATTCCAGCACGCTGAGATTTTCATGTCTCTTCTTTAAAGAAAGAGAAGACCCACCCCAGCCCTTGTACTCAGTTGAGAAAAACTCATTCTTGCTTTGCCAAAACTGCAGAGATGTTCTCACTGTCCACACCCAGACCCTAAACAATAGCAAACTTCTGGGAAGAACCTCTGCCCAGCAGCAGCTCCCTAGCCACTGGCACCTGCATTTCCCTCTCTGCCTATAGTCATCTTTCTAGTCCTCAAGGAGTCAGCCAACCTTTGAAATGAGAGTCACTTATAGTAGCTACTACTCAAAATGTTTTTTGCTCTCCTTCAAAGTGAACAAAAGCAGTTCTGTGTGGTTACACATTAATCTCCCTTACTCCCCGGCTCACTCTGTCTCACTATGTTCAGGGTACCTGTAGGGAAGCCTCCTCATTCAGACTGTCCTAAGCTCCCTGTCTTTTCTAAGATCTGTTTCCTCATAAAAAAGTTAACTAAAAAAGTGAGACAGGGTCTATTAATGGCCTGGAATTCACCAAGTACACTTGGTTATTTGACTGTTGAGTCTAGGGATCTGAAGACAGGGACCTGTTTGTTTACTTATTGTTCTCAGTGCCAATAACAACATCTGGCGTATAGTACATGGTCTGTGAATATTTGTATAACTAATTGTTAAAATTTACACAATTAAAATTTGAAGAATGTAAACTATGAATTACTAGTCATAATGGTCTGTAGCAGCACTTCTCAACCTGTGGGTTGCAACCTCTTTGGATGTCACAGATCAAATATCCTACATGTCAGATATTTACATTACAATTCATAACAGTAGCAAAACTATAGTTATGAAATAATTTCATGGTTGGGGGTCATCACAACATGAAGAACTGCATTAAAGGGTCACAGTGTTAGGAAGATTGAGAACCACTGGTCTATAGCTTGGAACGTTCTTAAGAGACTTGCTACACTTGAGTCTGGGCCTAGGGTGCTAGATTTCATTCACAAAGTGTGAGAGAACATGAGGACGAACTCCATCAGGAAATTGTGTGACCTGCTGTGTCACCTTAGAAAAACTTCCTGGTCATAAAGTCTGGGATGAAAAGTTATTCAGGCTTTGGTTCTAAGGCTTCTGGGAGTTCCCACCACAAATATTCCCTCATGGCCCGTCTTTGTCACTATTCTACTGCTGTGAAGAGCCACCATGACCACAGCAACTCTTATAAAAGAAAGCATTTAAGTGGGGGCTTAGAGTTTCAGAGGATAGTTGAAGGCAGGGAGCATGGTGCCATGCAGGCAGACATGGCACTGGAGAAGTAGCTGAGAGTTCTACATCCTGATCCACAGGAGGAAGAGAGAGAGAGAGAGAGAGAGAGAGAGAGAGAGAGAGAGAGAGAGAGAGAGAGAGAGAGAGAGAAGGAAACTGGGCCTGACTTGGGCTTTTGAAACTTTGAAGTCCACACCCAGTGACATTCTTCCTCCAACAAGGCCACACCTAATTCAACAAGGCCACACCTCCAGTTCTTCTCAAACAATGCCACTCCCTGATGGCTAAGCACTCAAATATGGGGACCATTCCTATTCAAAGCACCACATGGCCCATGTTTGGGTCTCTAGGGTATTCCTGGCCTGATCTCAGACCAGCTAATGAATGCCTGTTGCTCTCCAACAAATCCTCAACCTCCATTCTTTGGGGCTGAGTCCCGTCAGCCAGAAGTGCTTCTGGTATTCTTCTTTCTCTGTTGAGGTCAGGCTTTCCTGCGGTGTCTCAGAGAATGAGCTCATTCTGTCACTGCCCAGTCATCTGTCACTCCTGCCCTAGCTGAGTACACTTAGAGACCCTCCCCACCGGAGGACTGTCCCCAGAGGCCATATGCCCAAAAACCCTCCAAACCCTCCTCTGCCTGTTACTTCCCGTCCTGGGGCTCCAATAGCTCTGCCCTGCCAAGAGTTACCTGGATAGATACCTTGGCAGGGGTTCAACAAGTACATCCAACACACTGTGATGGACTCTGCAGGGGGACACACAGTGGGCCATAGGTCCTGCCTACCAAAAACAAGTTCATGGTTGCCTCTTGAAGGTTTCCACTCAGACCAGTCAGTTGTCCTACCTAAACCCACCAGAATGGTCTCCCAAAGTCATGAAAATGCAGGCATAGGCATTCCTTGGCTGTTCTAGGCCAACAGACTGGCAAATCAGGATCCTTAGGGCAAAGTCCTCTGCCATCCTCAAACACATACAGACCACGGTCTTTCTGTTTCCTGATCCAGGCTTCTTCCTGGAAGGTAGCCATGCTTCCCACACCTGCTTAACCAGACCTCATTCCCCCCAGTGGAGCCACGGGACACATGAGCTTATCCTAGCACTCACTCCAAATCCACAATCAAATTCTATATGTGAGTGCAACCAGAACAATAACCTGGGGGGGTGTCACTGCTTCACCAGGCACAGGTGGATTTGGGGAACAAAATATAATGTCTAGCCAGTGCTCTAGTCAGTCCAGGGCCACGGAGGCCTGTAAAGCTCTGGGTGCTGTCCCAGGCCCCAGACCCAGGCAATAAATCACTAGAATGAGACACAGCATTTATGAATAAGGCCAACATGGAAGGGCAAACTGTCCTGAGATGCATGAGAAACCTCTCTTGGATGGACCTTAAATACTGTCTCTGTTCACATGTCTTTCATTGTCTCCTTTGGAGTCTAGTTGAAGCACTAAATGGGAATACTTCTATGTCTCCTCTGACTTCTGTTTATGATAGTACAGAGCCCAGGTAAGCCATGTCGTGGGTGGACAGTGCTGCCAGCTGTCCATGTTTTAGCAGTGGGATCCAGAATAAGTGGGGCCCATCTCCCAAGAAAGAATTTCCACTCTTCATCTCCATCATGAAGACACAGCTGGACCACCTCTGCAGGAGTCTGCACTGATGCTATACTACAAAGAATAGAGACACTTCTCTGCTTTGGTTTCCTTCAGAAATGGACCTGGCTCTATCTCCCACATACTCTGGCCTCCCACCACTCCACCTGGATTGGGCCTTGCTTCTACCTGTGGAACTAAGCAAGGTTCTTGTGTTTCCTGTGTTCTTTCCCTCATTTGTAATCATGATGCTGCTGATAATCTGCCACACTGCTCCTTGTATTCCTGGACTGCCAAAGCCAGGGCTGGACAGTCCTGGTGGAGCCTTTCTTCCTTAGCAGACATAAGTAGACACAACCATCCTGCAAATCAAACCTTCTTGTAAGGCAAACAAGAGCACAATGTCTGGACAATCACC